GCTGTTAGGAAATTATTTCTTAACCCAATAGTTTCACCAAATTTTTATACTACCTGAAAAAAGCCATTCTCATTCTACATGAAAATTTTCCAGCTCCCATTTCGTACAAATAACTAAGAAATGGAAGTGCTTATTATCTTCATCTGCTTTATAATTTTCCAGAGTTCCTCTTTAACAAATGACTCCCTATTTTGACATACTGTATGTGAGACAGATATAGAAATTGCCCGATTTTTTCTTTGTAGCTCCACAATAGCAGTAACCAAAAAAAGATGAACTTTGACCTCTCCTCATTTTCATTACTGGCAAATAATGAACACCAATATGCCACACATCTTCCAAGCATTGAGAGCACTTGTAGAGATGAAACAAACCCAAAGAGACTTAGAACTAGTTCTAAACAATTAGAACTTATGTTGTAACTAAACATTAAAATTATAAAAATTATAGAAAATTAAAAAAATCTGCTTTGCCTTTATCAAAACATGGCAGAAAATTATTTCTCACACTATCATAAAGGTGTTCTTTTATTCTAAGTTAGGTTTTATTTTAAAATTCTTTTAAATATTGTTTTTCAACTAAGAAAACAGGTATTTTAAAAGATTATTTTTGAAATAGGACTTCTAAAATTATATTCAAAACAACAGGAATAGCATCTCTGGTTGCTTACTCTTTCTACAATACAGCTGTATTCTTCACTGTACACTTTAAAAGTTTTTGTTTTAAATAAAACAGCAAATGTTAAATTTTATTCATATATACAAGAAAGGACAACCTGTGTCTTGCAATAGATAGCATGAATATATTGACTATATATTTTTAAATAAGTTCATTTTTCTGTTACTGTTGCATATGACTAGAATGATGTTCACACACCCTGCTACCGCAGTTTACCTTATCATCACTAGAAACATAGCTCATCAAGCTCTCTTAAAATGAGAGAAGGTGAAGGAAACCTTATCTTCTTCAAATAGGAAAGATTAAATTCTTCCCCTGAAAAAAGTAGCCACACTTAATGAAGAAGTTTCGATAAGGTTTACCAAAATATTATGGAAAAATATTAATCTTCCTAGAGGAATTATTAAAGATACCAATCATAACCTCTTACCTCAAAAAGCAATGGTCAATTATGTACATAATTAAGAACAAGTTTAGCTTTATGCAAACATTGAAAGAAATGCCTGATACAAGCTTTAAAAAGATGGAAATTTTATCACCCCCTTATGTCCAAAACATGTCAAAATACGATTTCATCTTATTTGTTACTAGCATATAGAAGTGCATTTTCTGTGACCAAGAGGTTTTTCTCATCCATGATTCAAATAAAAATTACTTCTTCTTAAAGCCATAGAAGGGCTCTTTAAAGGGAAAGAACTAGATACCCATCAATTTTGCCTCTGGGTATTCCTAGCCTTTCAACCAAAAACTATTAAAAGCAACCCCAAGACACCATAATTGTTCTTTGAATAGTATTTTTTAATAGGAGTACCCCTTAGTTTCAGCAGATTACATACTACTATTACTCTATAATCCTTTTTTAAAAAACCAGAATTTTAATGCCTATATCCTTATATATACATATACATCCACATATGTATATATCCTTAAATGTTAATTGAAAAATTATTTATTTACATTGCGATATATTTAATCCCTGTTTAAATAGCTGTGGTGAATTTCTATGGAAAACAAATTCAGCTAGAAAGCATCTCATAACATCTTAAACTTTTGATGCAGATTTATTTATGACAAGTAAATCATTAATTTTTTTCTATCACAGGTGGATTAGATATTTAGTTTTTAAAATCATTATTTAATTAGCAAAATGTTTGCAAGACCCACACCAACATTACTCAATGGCAGAAAGTCTAACTTTGGTCTTGGTTTTCTGTAGTATTGGATAGAAGTTGCTCCGTTATGTAAGCAAACTGTTTTACATTTACTTTCCCACCCCCAAGTTATTTAATCACCACCATTAGGAAAAGAAATACTATGTTTCAATTTGGAATTAATGATATCTCTTCCTGGCTGTTCCACAAACTGGAAATCATAAGAGCTACAAGTACTACAGACTCATAAATGTCTGTCTTAAGTGTGTACTCTTTAAGATCATATGGTTCCAAAAACCTGCTTGGAGGATTCACTCTAAATGATTTAATACACTGACCTCAAAAGAGATGAGGGATATCATGTCCGTGGTGTCATCCGGCTAACAGGAAGTTCAAATTACATTTCTAACACATTCTGCATCTATTAATCTTCCAGTTCATTTTGCAAATATAATTAAGATAAGCTACTGTACCCTTGTTTTGTTTTAACTTAGCACCATCTTACATGCATACCTTATAAGGTAAATACCATGTTATCCATGTTCATATTTCTTGGTTAGCACTATCTGATAACTTGACCTGAGAGAATAACATATATTCTTCATTATGAAATGAAGTTCCAAGCTAGTCTGGAACAACACTTACTGGATGGTGTTATCTGGAATTAGTATTTTAGGACTTCTCCTGTGTATTAGCAATATTTTGTGATTAAAAATATCTTAAAATCTAATTACCATATTTGCTGTGAAATATTAAGAAGATTTAAAAATATTATTTTGAATTAAAAAGATGAAATTGTTATATTAGTACATTTTGTGGAATGACAGATTAATAATTTAAAGTCTCTCCTCAATCCACTCACTACATACTGGAAATAGTTCTGACTTCCAGTATCTATAAAGACTTAATTTTTCAGAAGTATGTTTAAAACTAAATACTCAGATGCATCTCCTTTACATGTTATTGCTATAATGAACATTTGTACAGAGTCATAAAAATAAATGTCACAAACCAAGAAGCCTGAACTTTTACCTTTCTTGAGTGGAGAAATAAGCAAACAAAAATCTTCCTTTGCTCACATGAAAAACAGTTGGCTTCTTTTTTATACGTCTTTTTATGTCTAAAGTTGTTAATTCAATTGTATACACATGAGGCAACTAAGCGACTGTCCTTTTGTCCTTGTAACCAAAAGGTGGCACCTCTAAAATTTAGTTAGCTTTCAATGGAAATACTACATTAAAAAGGGGAAAAAAAGGCATTTGTGTTGAAGTCCTAGAAGGAAGATTTTTTTTTTTACTGTGGGTAACTCTACTTATACAGAAGAGATAAGTATCTGAAACAAAAAAAATGTTTAGAAAATAATATTTATTGCACTGAGAGTCAATAAACTAAGTTGGTGTATAAACTTATACACTAAGATATGTGGTGACAAAAAACACTTTCTGGGGTGCATAGATTAGTGTGGGAGATCAGGCAGAGTTGAGAAAGAAGATTCCTTTTTCTTATCCCAAGTGGACATGTAGGAAAAAAATGTTAAGACTTGGCATTTCCCCTGAAAATTCAAAGGAAAACCTTTCTCTGGACACTAGCATCTGCTTGCTTCTCTGCACTCATCTAGGACCCACTTGGAACGCTTTCCTATTACATTCAGCCAGGCACTTCTCCCTCCTCCCATCTGACAGAAGTCACTTAGCTGTCTCTGATCCATAACAGGAAAGGGAAGCTTATATCACTGATGATGGAATTAGAAATTGCTGAAGCTGCCGTCAATGTCTGTTCAACAAGTACCTTTCACTTGACCTATCATGCAGGCAGCCAGGGCACAGAGTTGTTTTGATATCTTTCTCTTTTTCAAGAACAAAACATTTCTCTTCTAACATTTTTTACAATTTGAAGCTATCTTCCTCCCATTACTTTCTAAACTTTGTTCCAGTACAAGAGGATTCTTGGCCAACTGAGTTTCCATATGCCTTTTAACGGAGAACTGGAGCACTGAAATTTTATAAACATCATGTTTACATCTGTTAAATACTCATTAGAAGAAAATAAGGCAATGCATGAATTTGATGTTCAGGCAATGAAATGCAAACAGATAATAGAAAGGTAGAAAGAAATGGCAATCCAAACACAAATGTAGCTTTAACAGAGAAGTTAAATGGTTGCGTTATTTCTTAAAGGGTTACTATTCAAAAAAGTGAAAATCAGCATTTATTCGAAGTGAACTAGATTAGCTTTCTCAAAGCAGAAACCCAAGCCTCCTGATAACACTGTTGTCACAAATGTTTGAAACTTCACATACGTTTGCCCCCCTGCAACATAAAGGCCGTACCAGAGAACCTCTGGAAAGTAATAATAATCTGGTTTTGATTATTTTTCTTTGCACAAGAAACACCTCAAAGTTCAGACATTACCCCTGATGGGCAAATACCAAATAGCCCTACGGGACAGATGGGAACAGGGAAAGTCAGATGGTTAGTACTTAAAAACAACAGCAATTAAGCACTGAATGTGGGTTGGATCAGTGCTCTATTTTTGTTCCATAGGAACGAATCAAGTGAGAGACGTAGCCTCTTGCAAAGAGGAGGTCGAGTCAAACTTGATGCTTCCTCTCTCTGACAGCCGGGGCTGCATGGCTTGTCGACTCATTTTATCCAGTTTAATTGCTTTCTGTACTTTAATTTTTCACAGAAGTTGTATTCTATCTCGCCCCTTTACCCCTGCAAAAAGAAATCTTTCCTCCCTTCAGTATCCCCTTCTTTCCTCTGAGAACAAGCAGTCCTCTCCAGGAGCAGAAAGAAACCCTCTTGGTGCTTAGGATGGCAGGAGGGTGAAGATGAAGAAGAGACTGAGAAAGGCGCGGGTGGAGGTGAGAGATTGAGATTGAGGTGGGGGATGGAGGAGAGAGAATGAGATAAGGACAGAGAGAACAAGAAGATGGGGGATGCCCAACATCAACTCCAGGCTCTAAATCACGGGCGCTGTGTAAAGTGCTTTTCCAGGAGATGCACATGTGGTTTCATTCTATTTCTCACAATAGGCCACCCGGGGCTCCCTCCCCAGGTCTCATCACCCACCATCAACACCCAAAGGTACCAAGAACAAAATCTTGGAGAGGGATTCAAGCAAATAGGCACCACCGAGGTGGCCGCACCGCCAGTCCCGCTGCCCTACCTGCAGGGAAGACCAGAAGGTGGTGCCGGTTTCCTTCCCCAGTGCTCTCCCCGGGTGGACCCGTTCGAAGGCTCACACGTCCTCTTGCTGCCTCTGTTCTTGGAGGGGCAGCCTGCAACACAAAAGGGGTGTGTGGGTGTGGGTGTGTGGGAGGTTTTCCAGGGCTACCAGCTGGTCCCAGCTGGCCGCCCCCACCCTACACACACCCCTTTGGGGCGCTGAGCCCCCCTCTCAGCTGAGCACCACCCTTGGGGGGGCTTGCCCGGCTGCAGCCTCAAGTTGCCACTGCTAAGTACTGCTGGCTGCTGCCGCTGCAGAAGGAGGAGGTGGAAAGACACTGGGGGCAGTACTCGGTCTAGAGCATCCCCAACACTGCAGCTTCTCCAGGAATCCCTCCAGTGAGGAGGCGGCCGCCCATCATCTCCCAGCCCCGGCCACCTGATTGGTTCCACCTCGGGTACGCTGCGCCAGGGAGCCAATCCGGGCTCCCTAATAATAGGTGGATCTGCTCAGCCAACATCGCCCATCCCAGTTCTGTTAGTGTCTCTCCATCCCCATAGCGGACAGGGACCTGAAGAGGGGGGTTGAGGAGGGTTGGGGGAGGGCGGTAACTAGGAGGGGGACAGATTCCAAGGAGATGCAATCAAGGGCATCCAATAAGCCTTTTGGGTGCGCGCAGGGATGCCCCGCAACCTGTTCAGCAAGCCCTAAGCACCGGAAGAGACAGTATAATACAAAGCTATTTTTCTTTCTTTTCTTTTTCTCTTTACTTTGAATCAAAACCTGCCCTGATACTGAGCATGCCCAGACTGCAACAGCGCCCTAGGAGTTCCGACGTGTGTGGGTTCTCAGGCTGTCGGTTTTTGAAAAGGTGAGATCAGGGAAGAAGAGGCAGAAGTTTGCCTTTGGCCGTTTGACCCAACGGAGTTGGGAAAGCAGAGCAGGGCGGGGATATGACAGGATTCCACACGAGTGTCCACAAACTGAGCCACAGGGAGTGGCCCTCTGGGCTATCGAGATTAATAATATAGTTCCGTCGGGGTTCGGGGATAGGGGCAAGGGTAAATTGATTGTTAGCTGCTTGGAGACTTTACGTGAAGGGTGCTGCACACCAGAGATGCAGGGGAAGCTGCGTCCCATAGGTGGGGCCGGGGAGCGCGACTCCACCCTGTAGCGGAGGCTGCCAGGCAGCAGGGAGTGCACTGGGAGTTTCCACTGCAGCGAGCAATAACTTTGTAGACTTGGGTTAAGTGCGACATTGTTGGGGACACAGTTTCTGAAAGCCTCCCCTCCTCCTCCACCCCAGCCCCCCGCCCCATCTCTCTCCAAGCACTGCCTGCTCCGTGACGACTAAAGCGTGGGTTCCCTCCTCCTTCCCCTCTTTCGCCTGAACGATTCTGCCGGGAAGTAAGAAGCTTTTCCCTTCTGAGAGCGGTGCTGACCTGATTGTCTCTAAGCTCTAGGGCAATTTATAGCTTGGTAATAGGGAAAGATACCAAACTGCTAGGTCCAACCAGTGGGGGCAGGGACTGCGAACTAGGCAAGGGCGGAGCAGAACCTGGCTTCGGCAGCAGAACGTAGCTCCGGGGAGCGGCGGATCCCATTCTCCGCTCCACAGGTGAAAAAGGCTTTTGCTATGCAACGAAGTATTTCCCTTTCGCCTTCCCTGGCCTTGTTTAATGGCCTTTGGACCTCTGGTTTGTTTTGCTTAGAAATCCTAGCAGTTTGTGTAAACTTGACCAATGGCTACAAATGAGAACTCTCTTAATTGGGTTCCTTATTTTATTGAGAAGATTATCATGGCATCTCAGGTAAGGAAATAAATAGCTATCTCAATTCCCCAAACCATCCACTTTGAACTGGAGTTTCATTAACACTGGTTTGCAAAGGTAACTGTGGCAAGAATTCAATTAACAGTAACACATTTCTTCAAGTTTTAATTAAATCTCTCCTATTTATATAATGTTTAAGATTGAGATCCTTATTCTAACTATAGGGGAAAAGATGACAAACTTGACTATAAATTAATCCTTTTAATGACAAATAATTGTGTATTCACCAAAAGTGTAACTTTCCATAAATATGTATCTTTTATTTCCTAAAATATTCCTCAAATCTTATTTAAGAATGGTTTCATAGTTGGAGAAAGGAGATAAGAGATGTTAGTTTAAAAATCAGTTTTACGTATTTGATGAAGAAAAAGGAAGAGAGGAGGTGAAACAGGAGAATCAATTACTTCTCTAACGCTGTTTTCCAATAAATGTTTTTGCATGAGAAGATTATTGTAATATCCACCTAATAGACATTTATGCTAAATACACTTCCAGTATACTCTCTAAATTCCAGTAATTAAAAAATTGCATGTTTTTAATAGCTACATCCAGTGGCGGCATCTAGAAACAAGTAAACTTATTTTAGAAGACGCACGCTGAATATGAATCCAGATTAGTTATCTCTGTTCAGACTATGATCCAATCATCTATGTTTTATCCAATTTCTGTTCCTGTCTACCTCACCTCCTACCCAACAATTACTCTCTCTCAGTGGTGAAAATTTTAGACAATATGAATGGCATTAGATGTTCATATCCCAAAGTTACATGAGTAGGATGTCTGGCTAACATAAGACATGTGTTTTACATTTCAGTTCATGAATATTAAGAAGATTCTACTGATACACTAGATGTAAATACACTCTAGTTTTTGCAGAACTAAGACTGTTATCTTCTATGCTGTGTGCTCCCTAAGTTCAAGATATGGGCTGAATATCTCCACCTAGTCCTACCGGGCTGATATATCATACTTTTATGTTTTAGAGAATGTACAGCACCTCTCTGCCCTTGAGAGCAGACTCACCTCTGTTAAAAGACAGATCAGGTCAACTGTTCTCTCTCTCCCTTTATCTCATTTCCCACATACTTTTAATCTAGAATCTCTATGTCTCATCCTATGAGGATTTAACTCATTCCTTGGCTGTGTGGTATTTTTAAAAGATTACTTGGTATTTCCAGAACTATTTTCACGTGTTTTTTTTGTTTCATGTTTTGTTTCCTCATTTTTTGCTTCAAAAACACATTTGCCATTTTTTTCAGTCATATTTTGCTGATTGAGACCCCATTGTCATCGTTTTCTTTATTCCTTTTTCAATGGAATCATCTATTTACAACTTTAATGTTCCCTTTGCCATCTATTTTAGGCTACAGGATCAGAATAGAAACTAAATTGGATTGGGACACTGAGGAGAAAAGTGTGTGCTATGGCAAGAGTGGGAATTAGAGACTTTAGAAACAAGAAATTCATTAAGTGCAAATTTAGCCAAGGTTTTCTGTAGACCACAGAAGAATACATGAGAGAGGTATCAAGAAAATTCTCCGTGTTGGTGAAAAAGCTTGCATGTTCGAGTTGATCAATGGTACTAGAGACTTCCATTTAACCAAGACTCTCATACATCACTAAACTTAACATCTTTAATAACCTATCTAGTTGTCTGGTAAAATCTATTCTTAAGTATCTTTGCCAGGACTGTGAAAAAATAAAAACAATAATGATCTTTTCTAAATTTTGCTTATTGTTTGTATAAACTCATATATTTAAAAAAAATATCTATATACTTTCTGCCTCCGCTTTTTAAGATACAGCCTTTGGATAGGCAGAGGATTGGTTGTTTTCTGGGGCAAAAATTTGGATAAAACTCTAGCTTCACCACTAAATGTCTAGGGGATAATGAAAAGTGTGTGGTACTCCTCCAGTTTTTTTCATCTGTACTAAATGTATAAGGACACAAAATAACCCTTAGGGTTTTTTTGTTGTTGTTCTTGTGTTTGTGTGTGTGTGTGTGTGTGTGTGTGTGTGTGTGTGTGTGGATTAGGTAAAGCTGTACTAGTTCTAAGCACATAAGAAGAAATACTAACCATTATTATTTTGTCATTATAACTACTGAGGCTACTGCTAATATTTTTTTTCAGATTTCTAGGGGATTGGATTTTTTTCCTATAATCTAATCTATTTAAGCTAATATTGAGGTATAATCACAATGTACTCTTAACCTATGAGCATTGAAGTTAGAAGAGAATTAATCCATGTAACAAGAACTTATTTATACATAAAAAGCCAACAGTCATCTATCTTGCATGTGTTGGTCTCAGACTATAATCTTCTAGGAGATGAAGAGTTTGATTTTTTAAGAATTTGTACTTAAATATTATTTTTCCATTAAAATTTAGTTTATATTACTTTTTAGCATTAAGAAAAATCTAATTCTAATGCTAAAAAGTCATGAACATTGATATTTTTTTCTAGCTAACAAGTGGAGACTTCCACTTGTTTTACGGACACTTAAAACAAGTTTGGTTTCCCTTACACTTCTTTCTCTCAAGATTTTTCGGCCTGGCAGCACTGCTAATCATTTTATAGCCAACTGATAAGGAAAAAATCAGGGCTCTCAGTATCAGATAAAGAGAATTAACCACATGAACTTTGAAACTGAATACCCACACTAGAAACTAAAGAGAATGTTGAATAGAGAGAGGAAGAAAAAGACAATGAACGCATATGGGAGTCAAGTCTCTGGGGCAGAGAGTAAGAGCCCCATAATTGAACTATAATACTTTAATATTTTCAAAGAAAAGAAAATAAAGAGCTAGTAGTATTCGGTGTGGCTTTACAAAAAGCCTTTTCTTAAAGTTATAGCTAAGAAAATATTGGAAATGAAAAGGAAGGCAGTGACTCAAAAAGTAATATACTGTGTCAGGCAGTTGAGGTTAGCAAGGAAAATATTATTTAGGTGAATCCACCTCAAGGGCAAAATAAAAGTAGTTTGAGCTAATGTTGGCCAAAGGTCTTAGAAAGAAAACAAATGATGTATCTTTCAAATACTCTATTGTACAAGGAATATACTGTGGTGAAACAAATCTGTTAATAAAGCAGGAGCAACATTAAATTTTATGTTAATTTTCTTTAAAATCAGAGGGAGGATTTCTATTTACCTGAACATATAGAGATTCATAGTTCAACCGCTTCATTCAATACATGTGAAAAACAGCGTTTTCAGAGAGATTAGTTCACTTACTGAAAGGTGCAGAGATAGTTAAGATAGAGTGGGGTCAGGAGGAAGAATAGTCTGTTTTCAAGGAGCTGAAATGTTCTGATAATATTGTTTGGAGAAAGACATGGCAGACACTCAAGACTACTACTTTGAAATTTGATTCTGGAATGGTCCTTAGTGTCCTGACTGTGGGCGAGAGAAAGACAGCTAGGTCTGATTCATACCAGGGCATTCCTGGAAGGCTTTTTGCAGAATGGATTATATGTGTTTGCCATAATAATTTACATGCATCCTGGTCCACTTGTCTCTAATTCACCTAATACTAAATCGAGCATCAGAAATTAGGCTTCTAAAA